ACCCTTATTTATTTATTTTTATGTGGTGCTGAGGATCGAACCCGGGTCGCACGCATGCCAGACGAGCGCGCCACCGCTTGAGCCACATCCCCAGCCCTCTACCCACTCTTAAGATGACTGAAAATGAGCACTCTCTCCCACCCCTTTTTGGTGCTGGGGATTGAACCCAGCATGATAAGCACACACTCTACCACTGAGTTATGAGCTACACCCCAAGCCAACGTTAAAATATTTGATCACCGACTATGTTTAAAAAAAAACTGTATCAACTAGTCACGGTGGTACATGCCTGTAATCCCAGTGGCTCAGGAGGCTAAGGCAGGAGAATCATGAGTTCAAAACCAGCTTCAGCAACTTAGTGAGGCCCTAAATAACTAAGCAAGACCCTGTCTCTAAATAAAATATTTAAAAAGGGCTGGGAATGTGGCTCAGTGGTTAAGCACTCCTGGGTTCAAGCCACAGTACCAAAAAAAAAAAAAAAACCCTACATCAGGTCCCTTAGAAAATAGACTAGCTATCCTCATGAGCTATCCAAAAGAGAGAATGAAGGTAGCACATTAGCTAAAACTCAATATTCACCGTTAGGCTGGGCCAGGGAAGTAGCAGGCAAAGGTAGAGATCAGTGCTCAGCTTAACCCAGCAGGGTTTTTCCACCAGGTACCACTGCCATGTCCACTGGATAACTTTGTTGGGGTGGGAGGTGCTGTGCTGTGCTTTGTAGGAACATGGAACAGCATCTCTGGCCAGAAGCAGCACTCCCCCCACAGAAGTGACACTGAAAATATCTTTAGACATTGACAAATGTCTACAAGGAGGCAAAATTGTCCTGATTAAAAACTAGTAGCTTGCTGGATGGCCCAATGGCACACACCTATAATCCCAGTGACTAGGGAGGCTGAAGCAGGAAGATCCTAAGTTTCAGGTCAGCCTCAACAACTTAGCGTGACCCTCTCAAAATAATTGGCCTTGGGGCTGGGGCTGTAGCTCAGTGGCAGAGGGCTTACCTTGCAAGTGTGAGGCACTGGGTTCAAACCTCAGCACCACATAGAAATAAACAAATAAATAAAGGCATGCTGTCCATCTACAATTACAAAAAAATTTTTTTTAAATAAATAACTGGCCTATTTTAGTTATTTGCAAATTCTATTAAAAACACATTTAAATCATGCATTATGGACTATAAATACTCATACCCCAAGCTTAAAAAATTTAAGTACATATTATATAGAAATAAAAATAGTAGCTGTGTCCCAGAGTTTAATCACCAGTACTAAATAAATACATATCTGATAGGATTGTGGCCTTATAAGAAGAGATCCCAATCTCCAAGAAGAGAGATGATCCTAGTCTCTCTTTCTCTCCCTCCCTCCCTCTCCCCCATATCTATCTATCTATCTATCTCTCTCTCTCTCTCTCTCTCTCTCTCTCTCTCTCTCTCTCTCTCCTGCCATGTGGAGATACAGCAACAAGACAGCCACCTGCAAGCAGGAAATCAGTCCTCACCAGAACATGACAATGGTGGCATCATGATCTCAGACTTCCAGCCTCCAGAACTAAGAAAATAAATGTCAGGGGCTGGAGATGTGGCTCAAGCGGTAGCGCCCTTGCCTGGCATGCATGCGACCTGGGTTCGATCCTCAGCACCACATACAAATAAAGATGTTGTGTCCACCAAAAACTAAAAAATAAATAATAAAATTCTCTCTCTCTCTTTAAAAAAAATAAAATAAATGTCTATTGTTTATAAGCAATTTATTGTATTTGTTTTGTTAACACCATCAGGAGCTAAAACACCATTCCCACCTCCCCTGGAGCATGGCACCTGCCAAGCAGACCTACCAGACCCACACCTCAACTCCTCTGAGAGCTTAATAGCCAATTTGTGAACAGTTTATAGCAGGTCAGCGCTTCCCCAAGTTTCAGAAGGGGGAAGCATACTGCACCCCTACAGCCCTAAGCTACATCCACCGGCTACTTCAGTGCCTACATATTTTATACAGTACCACTTAAGTCACTTCAACTAGAAAAAAATGTTTTATTAGATGAGTTGTACAGTTTATAAAAGCACTTTTCTGATGGATGGGATTTTTACAGGACTCTTAATAGCAAAAGCAAAGCTGGATCTATAAAATGCTTTTTTTAAAACCTAAGTGATTTCCCTTTAATCTACTGCACCTTAATTTTCCATCTATTTAATAGCTATTTATTGATTGCCATGTAGCACTTTCATCTCCCTGGCTCAATAGACTGTCAAAAATATTTTTCTACATATCTTACAGTATTTCCTTGTTCACTGCTTCAAATCAAACTCATTATCTTCAGTTCTGTTTACCTTGGCAACTATGTTAGTCTATTCTGTGCTGCTCTAACAGAAACGTTTTGGCTCACACTTCTGGAAGCTGAAAAGTTTAAGACTGGGAGGCTACATCTTAAGAGTCAAGCATGGTGGCACACCCCTTTAATTCTAGCAACCTGGGAAGAGCAGGAAGGCAAATTTGAGGCCAGTCTCAGCAACTTAGACCCTGCCTTAAAATTGTAAAAAAGGGCTGGGGCTATAGCTCAGTGGTACAATACCGCTGGGTTCCATCCCTAGTACAAAAAGAGGGGGGGGGGGCTACACCTGGTGAGGGCATCCATGCATGTAACACTGCAGAAGTGTCAAACTGAGGGGAAAAGACATGGAGAGAGTGCAAGGGAGCCAAACCTGCCAGGTGTGGTGGCACACTGTAATCCCTTCAACACAGAAGGCAGAGACAGGAGAATTCCAAGTTCAAGGCCAGCTTCAGAAACTTAGAGAGGACCTAAACAATTTAGTAAGACCCTGTCGCAAAGAAAAAATAAAAAAGGTCTGGGAATGTGGCTCAATGGTTAAGTGCCCATGGGTTCAATCAATCCCAGTTACCAAAAAAATCAAAAAATAAAAAGGACTAGGGATAGCTCAGTGGTATAGTGTCCCTGGGTTTAATACCCAGTACCAAATAAAGATTATAGACCTACGGCACCACACCCGGCTTAGTCAGAGTTCTAAGTACACCACAACAGTCCTGGGGATGACAGTCCTATTGGATCCCCCAACTCCTGGAGTCAGATTGCCTTGAGGCTCATCACCCAGCAACCTGCACCTCTCCACTGTCCACTGGGAGACCCTTCTTTCTTTTTTTTAWTATAACAGTAGGTTTCTTCCTTTTTCAAAAATATTTTTTAGTTGTAAATGGACACAATACCCTTATTTATTTATTTTTATGTGGTGCTGAGGAGCATACCCAGTACCTCACATGTGCCAGGCAAGTGGTCTACCACTGAGCCACAACCCCAGCCCTGGGAGACCCCTCTTTACAAATCCCACCTACCTACAAGGAGTATGCCTGTTCCATTTCCATTCCCTCCTCTCTAACAACTTGCCTTTGGGACTCTCACTACCAACTGAGGTCTGTCACCTCT